CACTTTCATTTGGACATATAAAACAACCAAGGTTTTGCTTAGAAGCATCAAGCGTGTGTTGCTGGGATTCTTCATTGCCGATTTCTGCATCAGAGTCAGAGCTTATTGACGAATCCGTGTTGAAATGCGTTAATGACGTTTTCGGGTAGTCTAGATTTAGGTCTAGGGATTTTTACTGCTAGTAGTTATTTCTTCCCACTTCCACAATCAGATGAAGTAGCTGTAGCCTCTGCTTGGCTTGATGGAGGTTTAATTTGATCTTCGTTTCCTGGAAATAAGTAATAGCATTGTAGGTGCGAAATAATACAATACAGTATGAAATATTTTAAAAATGTACAGTAGAACCTCTTTAATCCGAACTAATTGGGACCAGGGGTAGTTCGGACTATTGAATAGTTCGGATTACAGAACATATTGTTGTTTGTTGTTTTTACATAACAATAGCTAAAATATGGCTAAATTTGATCAACATTATTTTGGGAAGAGTGAAAAAATGTTTTATAAAGTAAAATACAGTGTTTATTTAGTACAGTAGTAAACATGGTGAATAAACAGTACTGTAAATTAAATACAGTATACAATAAAGAACTGCTGTACTGTGTATAGAGTACAGCAAAGAGGGGTTCGGATTAGTGGACGTTCGGATTACGGGGGTTTGGATTAAAGAGGTTCTACTGTATTCTGTTTACAGTTTAATTACGTTAGCCTTTCAAATATTTTATCTTACCATTGCAGGTGTGGCATTTGTCCCCAACCAAACAATATAAAAAAAAAGTTATTAATTTAGTCCAAATTATTAATTTAGATAGGGGGTTGAGTATGCACTGAAAGTGTAACTCTTTTTGACTTTTGATCGTTGTTGGGGGCATTTTGGAGATGACAAAAAACGATGTTGTCGCCCTCCCAGCAGGTGCACAACTTGGGGGGAGGGGGGTAAGGTGTTTTGAGACGCGTTCTAGAAAATCGCTTATATATCGTGAGTTAGACACGATAGAAACAAGCTCTAAACGGCATTGTATTACCAACTTTATCTGCTTTAAAAAAGTATCCAGGAAAAGTCCCGTATCTATGATATTAGTTGAGTTATTTAACAATTTATTAAAAAATTTGAATAAAAACCCCTAAATAACGTTGTTAACTATCCATTAAAACCCCTTTAAAACAACAAACAGTACAATTTTTCATCGTGCATAATATGTTTAACACGCTAAAGTGACTTTATATGCCATGGTAATTATATCGAAATATTACAAGGTTATGCGAGGTTTCCGATGAACGTTTCCGGTGACGCCACTGCGCGGCAGAAATCAACGTGTAGTACAGACTTGTAAAAATTGGGTATGTGCCGAAAGTGTAACACATTTTGACTTTTGGTTGCTGTTGGGGGCACCTTGGAGATGACAAAAACCAATGTTGTCGCCATTCCCGCAGGTGCACAACTTGGTGGGAGGGGGAGGGGGAGTAGCGCTGAGGCGCGATCTAGAACATCGCTCATATCTCGTGAACTAGACACGATAGAAACATGTTTTAAACGGCATTGTATTACAAACCGCATCTGCTTTGAATATTTTACAATGAAAATCAAAATACCGTTTATCTACCTATCTATATCTATAAAAGAGGAACTATGTATGTGTGTGTGTATGTATATACGTTATGGACTCCGAAACCGCTCGACAGATTGTAATGAAACTTTTAGGCATTATTAAGCATCTTTCAAGGATGGTTCGAGTAAAGTTTGGTGCAGATCTGTCAAAAGGGCTCTGCCCCAGAGGGTTTTAAGTGGGTCAATGTCAGACTTTTTGATCTACAATGTTTACAAATAAATATAATTTAAAAGCAGATGTTTACTTTCACCAACTGTTTTGTAGGTTTGAATGATTACAACATTCTGTATTAGCATTAGTCATGATTTGAAATAGTGCCACAGTGTTTCTACAGAGTGCAGCACAGAAAACTATTTTACTTTTGAACACGTCCAAATGTATTAAACCCCAATCGCAGCACACCTTTGCACTTAACAACGTTTAAATTCTCTAATGTTAAATATTAAAACATAAAAACCTTTATCAAAGTATTATAAACAATAAAAGGGATGACTTTTTAAAATTTATGACAACAGCTAATTTGCAAACAAAAGGTGAGTGAGCGTAGCGAACGAACATCAGCCTGGAGGCGAGTTAGCGTAGCGAACGAGCTAACCTGAAAACAAGTGAGCGCAGCGAACGAGCTCCAACCTAAAGGTGAGTGAGCGAAGCGAACGAACATCAACCGGGACGTGATTGAGCCATGCGAATACTTATGAAGTTAAACGGGGCAAAGCCCGTGGGTACAGCTAGTATAACATAAAACAATGAATAGTACTGTGTTTGGAGTGCATTCTACGTTCAACACACGAATTACAAAAAATTAAATGTACTGTACTTTCCTTAAAATAATATGTACGGAGTTCTCGAGTTAGCGAGAAAATAATTATAAGCTGTTTTTAACACTAGGCTATTTTAAATATAAAATTTAAACAAAAATCTAGGTACAACTACCAAAGAAAGTGCTTCAGTTTGAAATGTATACGGTTTTTATTAAAGGAATATTAAAATAGACTTGGAAATGCTGTACTTCATTTTAAAACTTAACTACCATATAAACTACACATAAGAAAATAATGGATAATATTTCGGTCATCTTGTTTGAAACGGTCTTAATGATGAGGATTTCTATAATTTTTAAAACATTTGCAGTAGGAGCAGTAGAATTAAGAAGAAAAGGAAGCACCTGCAATGACAGCCGCTTTAAAGAAATCACAACTAATCCATCTGCCGTCAAGGACATTAGTAAAATGCCTTGCACACCGGACAGCTTCAAATTACACCTGTTACCTGGTGTTACCTGGTTTCTCAGCAGAGTTACCTGGTGTAGTGCCCAGTTATATTTTTTGGGAAAAGTCCTTGACAGCAGAAATAGAGCCTTTAGATTTATTTCAGTACGGATTTTTCAAAGACAGCTCAGGAAAATTGCGCTCCTTCTTATGACCCTGCCCCAGCTCCTACAAATTTGCTAAAGCCATGTATATGCAAGACTTGTTCTAGATCAACTTGTAGCTGCTTTTCAAACAAGTCATCCTGCTGATCCTACTGCAAATGTTTTTCAGCAACAAAATTTTTCTTGATTTTATGGCTTTTGAAGGCCCCCTTGAGCCGGAGGCCCTCGGCGATCGCTGACCAGCGGCCCTGGCCAGACCGGGCCTGACTCCAGTCATCAATTATCATCACCTACAATTCGCTACAACTTGTGAGACCAAGAGTTTCAATTTATACAATTTATGCAGTACAAATTTCCGCCCTAAATAAAATAAAATGTCTTATATATATAACTTATGCCTAGTGAGATTATGGTTTAAAATTATTCAATTTCTATCCTCATGTTAACCATCTACGAGTTTGTCAAATGGTGTCTTTTAAGTGCACTATTGAAGAGATATCGTATGATTATATAGAACATTAAGTTTGAACTTTTATAAGGGATCAGCGTTCCTACATAAACTTGAAAATGAAAATCATGGTTTATTAGGCCGTGTTTTTATTTTGAGGTTTATAAAGTCCTATTGGCAAGTTTAGGGGAAATATTGGTGGTATCACAGTGTACCTTCATAGTGGACGTCTGAGACAAACAGAGCAATGGTAGGACACCCGATGTTGCTGCTTGTACTCAGTAGACTGCATGCTAGTTCAAGTCTGATTCTGATTCCTGACTAAGTTTTATACTACTTGCCTCTAGAGTGATTGAAGATCACCATGTCAGAAATGTAACCAGGGTTGAACATTTGTGCTAGAGTTTGTGATTGTTCCCGATGTCATCACGATTGCAAAGAAAGATTATGATAACCACGAAGACAATGTTGAGGTATCGACAATACGGATGGATAAGTCTGGTCAAGAATTTGTTTCTCGTCAAAATCTGAAACAAGATTGACGATATTATGGATCTCATTACAATCAGAAACTATTTGTTTGTGTAGTTTTACAATAAATAACAATTAAGTGAAATTAAAGCAACAACTGAAATGCAATAACTAATTATTTATTACCAAGTTTGATGTAAAAAGAAATGCACAAATTAACAAAAGTTTACAGGGACTTGGACAGTGATAAAAATCTTAAATTTGACAAAAATAAAATGAAAATAATCGAATGAAAATAATACATATCTTAAGAAATCCGATGACAATAAATAAGAAATGTTAAAATGCTATAACTACTGCAAACAAACCAATGTGATCATTAACTAAACTTAGTATACTAAACACAAATGAGGTCCAAATGAACAGACTTAATCATTACACACTTTCTATTGAGTGTAGACGACAGGCGTCATTATGCTTATTATGCTTCCAGTGCCAAGGAATACTTACGAGTATGATTTCAAAACAAACAATGATTACCATAGCAAATAATAACCATGTATAAGGCACACTTAAGTAGGCTTAATATTTATTTAATTGCTGAGAAAGCAATTAATTGTATTAATAAATTAGGTAGTAGTTCTGCAATGGCACACACGAAAAATAAAACATTTCAATAGCAATTGAAAGTAGGCTATACCTAGAGATGTAATTAATTTTATCGAAACAACAGTATAGCAAAAGTAATTATACATTACTTTAGTACTAACTTTGAGTCATTGATATCGCAGGAGCAGATAATCATTACGTTGCGCTGCTGCGGTTAAGGTAAATTATCACAATTTAACTTTAGATCTAAAGTTCTGTCAAAAGTTTTGTAGAACAAGGATCATATCCAGCCCTTATCTATTTTTAAGGTTTTATAGTGAAATTCTCGTTGTATTCAATTCCAGGTTTTTTCACAGTTGACAAAATTCACTGTTCATTCACAGTTTTAAGGCGTTTATGAGTTGAGTGGCAGGTATGGTTTACCTGTAAAAAATGTATTACAAACAAGAAAAAACATCTCAAACCACTTACTGTACTTTGCGCTTTGTTATAGTCGATGCAGAGCCAACTGATCAAGACACCCTTAAATTTGAACTGAAAATCAAATGTACAAGAAATGCAAATTCTGGAAAAGACTCAACTAGAGTGGACGACTTGTACCAAAACCACAATGGTAACTAAATGAAAATTTCAACCCAAACCTTTGAAATAGCTATTAACATGCATGACTAGAATATTGATTATCATTTATTATATTAATTACCCTGCCAAAGCAGACCAAGGAAATTTCCATCATCATTGGATTTTCGCTTAAATATTTCCTTAAACATGCCAGATTTATTCATTATTTAATAAAATTGGGGTAAATGAGTAATTAGGTTTGCTGCTACAAAGAAGGAAATAAGGTGTGTTTTTTTTTACTGAAATTTTAATAGCTTAGGATGTAATAAACCAATTTGTGTTGGTGTAGATGCGAACTTTATAATATTTTATGAATACCCACAACTATTAATACATATTTAGCCATTTTGGTGAGAAGAGGGGTGTTAGTGTAATAGCATGGAGCCAGTCATAAAACTATTATTATAATTAGAATATGCAAACTAAGTGATAATAAAAATATATTATACTTATTCATTTCATCAATTTATCTGAATAAAGTGAAAATATAGGTAGGAACAGTGAAGAATAACTTTTTTACAAAACTCAAGCCTCACCTTCTAGTCTGCTATTATGCTCCTGAGAAAAGTAAGACTTCAAAAAAATTCATAAACTTAATGCTTTGCCTACTTATTAGTGTTTTAAGAAACTGTTCCCATTTAATTACTTCTGAGTGTTGTTTGTTTTGTAAGTATTGTGACTACCTAACCTATATGTTACATCCAAATAATTAATCAAATATAAAATATAAATACAACAAATTAAAAAAAATATTTAAAAAAATATAAAATACAATTGACCAAAGTGAACAGTTGTTCTTGTATTCTTTTTATTAAATTGCAACTTAAATATAAACAGAAATTAAATTTTCCAGGTGATCATAATGTAAACAAATAATGTTCTTCATAAGGATAACATGAGAACTTTAAAAGCCACTGGGGCAGAGCCCAAAGGACAACAAAAAAAAACTATACGCAAATATACGCGACATGCTCTTTCCAATGAGACGACAATGGGCAAAATCGGTTGAGAAATGGCGAAAGAGTTCAACCGACAAATTTCGTGTTGGCATATTAATTATATTGACTAGACATTGTTTGTTGGAAATAATTTACCAGTTGTGTGAAAATATCTTGGCAAATTAATGTTTCAAACATGTTTATTTCTAAAAATTCTTAACCTAGTTTTAAAACCACTTTATTGTGGTTATTCAGAGTAAAATAGGTAAAGCCTAACTACCACTTAACACTTCTTAACTGTGTTTATTTTTCTTTACACAATCCTCTCAGTAGTAAAAGGTTTTAATAATGCGTGGCACAGTAATTGTTGTTAGAAAACCATGAGTGTAGGAGTACAGTAGAACCTCGATAGTTCGACACATTGTGGACTCAAGGGGTGTCAAACTATTGAAATGTCAAATTATAGGGAGTAAATGGAGTTTAATATACAGGAAAGTAAAAACACAAGTTTTAGTCCTACATAGAAATCACCCAAATTTATTAAATACTAAAAAGCTTAACAATTTCACTGTTCATTAGTCTCAAGTCAACAATAAATGACAAATTAATGTTCAAGTCAGCTTACATCACAATAGTAACCATTAAATATCACTTGACAAAATAGCTCAGCCCGTGTGGAACTACAAGGAGTGTCGAACTATCGAAGGCTTACTGTAATGTCAATGTATTAAAATTTTAAATAATGGTTTAAATACAATTTCGATAAGAAAACCGCAAAAATACCGGTAGCCGCGCAACGTACCGATTTTGTACAGAGAACCTAGGTACAAAATATTGTACCTTACCGAACCGACCTTAAATTTTCTGTACCGCAGACTCCTAATATGTATATATATAAGTCCGTAGACACAATAACTTGAGTAATTGTTTGCCCAATTTTGATGAAATTTAGCTTAAAGGTGTAGGGTGGGATAAACTTAAATGAGTTCGCGAACCAGCTTGATCAGACTAATTGGGAATAGGGTGTTATTGTTGAGGAGGGGGTTATATAGGGTGAAAATTAGTTTTTCTAGTTTTTGACCATAAAAACATACAATTTCCTAATTTCCCTTCAAACCTTTTATAAGAGCAATAAAACAAATAATTTAGTATATTGAAGTGTTTTTTACGGTTATTGGTTACGGAGAAAATTGAAAATTCAATAAATTGTAAATTAAAAATTCCTTGTTATTCTTATGGAGGATAAGTAAACTGTTATAGTTTGCTTGTTTATACATATTTTGATCAAACTTGGTAAATTTATTTATTTTTTCCTAAGCTATTCATATACTACTAATACTATAAACAAACACACTTAATTGCCCTCCCTGTAACAGCAAACCTACTTGTTAAACCTTATCTTCTTAATATATAAAAGAAAGTTGTGTTAGTTACAGCGTTTATAACTAGAAAACTACTGAACCAATTGGCATAAAATTTACAGGGATATTTCTTCGGTACTACAATAACATAATAGCCTGTTTCCGTTTCAAAAACCCTTAAGGGAAGCGTCCTATGGCCCTTTGCAGTTAAAGCCTCGTTCACACGTATCGACTTTTTGCCGTGCGCCGTGCATTCCTGAACCGCGCCGTGGACCACACGACTCGCGCCGTGAACAACACGACTTGGGCCGTGCGAAAATGACTTCTTGTCACATTTCTTCAGTCTGTCAAAATGGATAACCAAACAAGTATGCTATTTTTATACTTGCTACATCGTCAAAGCAAAAGTAGGCGTAATAAGCTAAAGTGGGTACACCCTATAAACGTGCAAAGATCAGTAATAGGAGCATTTGTTCTTCTTTTCATTCTTTACTTTTCTAAGAAAAAACGGAAGTAAATTTTATAATTATTTTTTTCAAATGTCAGTTGCTTCATTCGATAAACTGTTAAGCCGGGTTTACACGATGCCAGTTGGCGAGACAATTGTCTGGAGATAACTGACTGGCTTGGAATTACTGTCTTCGTGTAAACACTTCAGGCCAATTGGCAAGCCAATTGGCCCGCCAACTGTCCTGAAATTCAGTTGTCTCCGGGAGTAGACTGAGGACAATGAGCTGGGCCCAGTGAAACCCCCACCCCTCAAAACCCCAATTGTCGTGACAATTGGCGCCGTGTAAACAGTGTAGAGGCCAATAGCACTGTCTTGTCTTTTGGCAGTAGTACCCTGGTTCACTGTAAAATGCCTGGGCAAGTGTTGGCCACGTGTAAACAGGTTCTCGTTCAACTTGCCTGGCCTATGACAATTCCAAAACCACGTGATGCCAATTGGCAAAGACAATTGTCTCGCCAACTGGCATCGTGTAAACCCGGCTTTAGTAAAAGTGCAAGGAGGCTTATTTAAAGAAATAGAACACTTAGGCCTCAGATACGATACGAGTGGCGAGCGGTGAGCGGCAAGCGGCGAGCGGCAACCTTAGCGGCACGTAAGCGGTGGTGGTGGCTACGATACAAGCGGCACAATTATCACGCTCATCAAATTTCCCCTGTTTTATGAGTCAGTTTGAGAAAAACCTCGGACATTGGGTCTCATTTAGTTGCGTGTAAATTTGTTGAGGGTGGCCACGATGTGGCGAGCGGCGGTGAGCGGCACCGCTCAGTGCCGCGATTTTCCCGAAAACGCCGCTCGCCGCTCAGGTGAGTCATGCTTCAGTTAGGCCTAAAATGACAGAGAAACAGCAGCAAACATGCGATACGGGTCGATACGTGAGGTGCAGTCCAGGGAACTTTTGTGGAATGACCAGCACGGAAGTTTTACAACACTTCAGTCACCATAAAAGTATGGAACAAAGTTAGGGTTAAGGTTTTTCTAAAAACTAAGTTTTTCTTTTAAAGACAAACAATTGTCAGATAGCAACAATAGTTGCAATACGTCTTGCAGGTAAGCATAGTTTACCATTTAGACTAAACTGACTCATAAAACTGGGGAAATTTCATGAGCGTAATAAAAGTGCCGCTTGTATCGTAGCCACCACCGCCGCTTACGTGCCGCTCAGGTTGCCGCTCGTATCATACCCGAGGCCTCACTCTCAGGTTTTGCGCTAACAGGTGTATTTTATGGTATCATACAAATTATGTAAGCTGACTTAATTTCCAAATAAATCTGGTTAATCTTTACAAACGAGCTTTGTGACCCATCTTAAGGCATGACTTAACTTTTTAAAAACTAATGTTTTATAGCAAATAATACGATGAACTTGTGAACTGTTCACATAAGTTATTTTTACAATTTTTTTACAAAAGTGGAAGATTCCGCCTTTTGTGATGGATGTACTACACCTCTTGAATCCAGGAAGACACTGAAATAAACAATGTCTGCGCATGCGCTAGACCGAGTCGGGACGGCCCCACGTCGACCTGTGTAAACGCATCCATAAGAGACCATGGTGTTCAAGAGGTCGAGTACGGCGCGACGCCGCGTCGTCGCTTGAAGAAGGTCGTGATGTCCACGGCCGCCGTGGACGGCGCGGTGCCGTGGTCGATACGTGTGAACGGTTGCATTTACAGCAATGCGTTTGAATAAACACGACGTCGTGCCGTACACGGCGCACGGCAGAAAGTCGATATGTGTGAACGAGGCCTTACATGTTAATCTTATGGAAGAATGTTTTATTTTGTTTACCATGCCATGTTTGTCATTTCTTGATTAAATTAAATTAAGGAAACAGCTGTAATGATAACCTAATTTTTAAAAACAAATCTATGCATAACAAATGAGAGCTGTCAAATAGGTTTCTATTACATTTGTTTTTTACGAATATTTGTTGTCAAATGTAACTGAAGGCAAGTGAGCGCTCTAGCGAACGAGCTCCAACCTAAAGGTGAGTGAGCGTAGCGAACGAGCTAACCTGAAGGCAAGTAAGCACAGCGAACGAGCTCCAACCTAAAGGTGAGTGAGCGTAGCGAACGAACTTCAACCAGGACGTGATTGAGCCATGCGAACGAGCTCATCTTGAAAATGAACGAGCATTTGACATAAAACCACATTAGGACAGGACGACGTCTGTCGGGCCAGCTAGTGTTATTTAAATAGATTTAAGTGAAAATCAAATCAGGCAAATGGAAATTCCCATAGTCTTCAGGTTTGCTGCGGCGGGGGTATTTTTTATTAATATTACATAATGCACTATTAATACAGACTTATAAATTAAATTTGTATTAGGTATTAGGTTATAAGAGAAAAATAAGCAGTCTGTTCTTATTTTTAAAGATGCCCGACTTGCATGGGAGGAACATAAAACATTTTGGTATGTGATGTTGTACATGATGTTGTTTGGTCCATGTTGTACATTAAAATACATTTCCCAGTTTATAGCAAACATATCAAGTGGATCCCCGTTGGCAGCCAGAATGACTTATTCAAGAATGTAGATGTGGGCCCAGTACATGACGACATCCTCATTGCCAAAATGCGACCAGGACATGAAATAAACCTACAGATGCTTGCTGTCAAGGGAATAGGCAAGGATCATGCAAAGTTTTCACCAGTAGGTAATGTAAATATTTGAATTGTTTCAACAGTTTTGTTAGAGGAAAGGCTCTAGGCAAGGATTTTTATTATTAAAAAAGTGAGGATAGCAGCTAGTTTACCTAAGAAAAGTCTAGATAGACCAAAGTTAGGCCTACACATTAAACACACAACTTTTGTTACTGGGATTTTTATGCCATTGGTTTTATGTGGCATTCGTATATATTAATAAACACAGAAACAGTGTTTACTAAAGATTTGCTCCTAGCACTTTAGCTATAGTGCTTGCCTTCAAACATGGAGATTGCTTGTGTCAGACAATTACCTTCTTATGAATTATTCTTGAACCAGATGTCCTCTATCTGAAGGCTATATACATTCATCTTGCTTTTAAACTAAAGGTTGATATTAGACAAGACCTGAGTTGGGTCAGTTTTCTTTACTTACTGGTAATTAAATAATGTCAATTTCATATCACGTAAATTAAACAAATAAAATCAGTAAAACTGTAACTCCATATAAAATTTTTTGAAATAATGATTATCCTATCAATTGACTTACCTTAGTAATTTTCTTTATTTTTTGCTTTTTATTTTTTTAGTCATAGCTAATTTATTAATTCATCAGCAATTTCACTTTTGGGTTTAGGAGACAGAAAAAACCACATCAAATATACATGGAGAATCTCACTTGTTCTTCCAGTGATTTGTTGGTTGTATGTTTAGCTACAGCATCATACAGGTTGCTGCCTACGCTGCAGCTGACACAAGAGGTTGAGGGGGAACTTGCTCTCAAGCTGCAGTCTTGCTTCTCTCCAGGAGTCATCAGTGTAGTAGAGGACCAAAAAGGTACAAAAACTTACATGACCTAGTTTGTTCCTAGGATCATTTGACCTTGAACAAACGGTGCCATTAAACCTGGGTTTTCCGTTATAGCCTCCATCTTTCTTTTAATGAATTTCCAAATTTAGGGAATAAGCTATTACCTTAGGTTTCAGGGCAAGGCCTAGAACCGGGACCAATTTAATTTTTTGTTTTGAGGTCCCCAGAGGGCAAAGCACCCTCCGTTCAAATTCATATATATATATACATATATATACACACTTGAAAAGTAAGTTCCCTTTTGAAGCAAAATATTAATGAGTACAGACACAGCAAAGAAATGTATTCCAAAAAATCTACAACTCTTACACTTTTTATCAACATAACTCCTGGGATTTTCAAGTCAAAGGGGTTTATGAGATAATTCACATATATTCTTGTGGAGATAAAATAAACTGCTGTAGTTTGCTTGTTTGTGAATATTTTATCAAAAAAATTTTTATAATTTTGTTTTTTTCATACAAATCCAGGCCTAACAATATTTAAATAAAAAAACACACCTCATTATTACCTCCCCTTTAGCCGCAAACCTAAGTACACTTATTAAAATTAATGTTATTTTAATATATACGAGCTCCGTCCTAGGTACGGGAATTGAGTAGTTAACTAAAACTGGAGTTATGTCAATATTTCCATTTCTAATCCAAGCAAAGTATAAGTGGTTGGTTAAACATTTATTGTAAACAAAAAGCTGCCAAGATGAATTAAAACATTGTTATTTTCCTATTCTTTCCTTAAAAAGTCTAACAGAAAAATAATTTGCATAAAATTTCCTTTGAAGACTCGGGGGCAGAGCCTCGATTTAAATACATTAGTGGTTATAGAATCTTTCTCATTTCCTATGATCAATGGCAAAATCACAGAATAATAAACTAACCTGATAGTTCTGTAGAATATTTTTATATTCAACCAGCTGTTAGTTAAAACAAATTATATTGCACTAAAACAAACTTAAAATTGTAAAGACTGCTCTAAAAAATAAATTAGAACATCTAGAATTTTACCATGTATATTTAAATTAAATAGTCTTGTCATCCTCTTACCAAATAAATGAACGTAACAATGAGTATAGCATTACACATAGTATAAATAAGTCAACCCTATGCATGTCATTATTATCCAAATGCTGAATTTGTGTCACACACGCTTAATGTTTACAGCTGTTACGTTAAACAAGTGGTTTTATAAAAGATAGTATAGAATGTTAGCGTCGGCTGCTAGATATTTTAAAATTTTTAACTTATTTTCTAAAAAACTGTGACCCTAAACTAAAATCATGGCTTGCGACATCCCCTAGTTCTCAAAATGATCTTTCTTTCAAAACAAAAATCATGAATATCCGTCAAGTGGTTGATTCAGAATCGTGAAATAAAAAAACCCTGTCACGTTTTAGTACATATGATGACTAGCTGTACCCGCGGGCTTTGTCCCGTTTAACTTCTTAATTTTCAAGATGATCTCGTTCGCATGGCTCAATCACGTCCTGGTTGAAGTTCGTTCGCTACGCTCACTCACCTTTAGGTTGGAGCTCGTTCGCTGCGCTCACTTGCCTTCAGGTTAGCTCGTTCGCTACGCTAACTCGTCTCCAGGTTGAAGTTTGTTCGCTACGCTCACTCACCTTTTGGTTGCAAATTAGCTGTTGTCATAAATTAAAATAAATAATAGCGCTGCACTGTTGGTAATCCTTGTAACTTTAATGCTATTTAACATCATAGAACAGAACCAACTTGTTTAATTGAAACAGCTGTTAAGATTCATTAATTCCTTTTAAATATGAAAAATCAGAAGGCTAACATGGGAAACTCCAGAGCCACTGGGGCGGAGCCCGAGAGTCCGATCAGAATAAAAACACCTTAGTTTTCCTATTTAATGCCTAAAGAATCAATGTACCAAATTTCAGCCTCCTAGGTACATGGGAAGTGGGAGAATTAGTGATGAGTGAGTGAGTGTGTCAGTGAGTCAGTGAGTCAGTGATGGCTTTGCCTTTTATAAGTATAGATGATGATTATCTATATCTATACTATTATATAACAATCTAATGGTGTCTTCACTACGATGGCATGTGTAGAATTTGAATTATATCCAGTAAAATGAACGACTGTAATTTCCAGGTTTAGAAGGGGTTGCGGGGAAAAGCTCAAAGGGGAAAATCGGGAACTTTTTGAAAAAACACGTCTTAAGTGGTTCCATTACATATAACAAACTCAGCTATCCACTATTTCGCTACGAAAAAAGGCAGTTGGCATGCATTGGCTGGGCTAGATGCGATGACGCAGCGCAAAGGTGTTCAACTAGCCCGCACACGCTCTCTTTGCCGACGCCCAGCTCTTCACCCGGTCACCTAGATGACTAACCAATAATATATTTGTAAACCTTGTAAAACGTGCTAAAACTTTTGTTTAAACCATATTTGCGAATTATTTATATTTAACAGTATACATAGAGAAAAACAAAATTTTGCACTCTGAAACAAAGCTTTTAACGATGTTTAAATTTTATAACTCCCTAAGCATTGGTTTTAGAAAAATGTTGTAAATACAAAAGTTGTAGGAAAACTAATCATAAATAAAACAAAACAAATTGCAGCTCGATAGCTTACATAGTATTCGAATTATGATCAATTAAGTAAAACACTGCAATTTCTATGTTTGGAGGGGGGTGGGGGGGGGGAAAGCTCAAGGGGTAGAAGTGGGGACTTTTGGGAAAATACACCTCTCATGTGGTTCTATCACATATAAAAAATCCAGCTTTCCACCATTTAGTTGCGAAAAAGGGTGTTTTATTGCATTCATTGACTGGGCTATAAATATAATCAATCCTAATAATGAAATAAACTTAATTGGTGTGTTTATAGTTATATTTTATGGCTTCAATGAAAATAATACTTCAATTTCCGATTGCCATTTTATAATTGCCACACGAATCGCGTTGTTTGCGTTTAATGTCAAAAGTAAAACTCAAAGTAACTTATAGGCCCTCTGTAATTAAGTTCTGACTAATGTAATAACATTTACAGAAAATAAATCCAATTTGTCCAAAACCAGAAACATATATATACATTTTGTTCTCCTATTGAGTTTAATGATAATTACATTTTCCAATCAAAATACATGTAGATCATTACTTATACCATTTCATATATATATATATTTATCGTCCTAAAAATAAAGACTATAATTATGTGTGTCAAGTGTTATTGGACGTATTTTTATTTATTTTCTGTAAGTAAAAGTCCTCAAATTCACAAAAAATAAATATAAACATAGGATTTGCAATCCTGTTAATCCCGAGATTTCTAGGTATCAAAAATCTACCGGGATCCCGGAATTTGGGATTGAAACCCCTACTTATGAGTACTGTACTTATATTTAAATGGAATTAAAGAATCTTAACAGCTGTTTCAACTTAACAATTTGATTCTGTGATGTTCAATAGCATTAAAAAGTTACTATGTTTACCAACATGGTGCAGCACTATTAATTGTTTAAATTTATGATAACAGCTAATTTGTACCAAGCAGAAACAAAAAGCTGTGATACATGAAATGGATGGAATGTTTTCATGCATAGTTGAATTATGGCAAGGTATGGTAAAACTAACAATCCAGAACCTGAAATAATATCCCAGTAACCCAGTAAAAAATGTATATAGAAAATAAATTAATAGCAGTGAAATTTTGTTCAATCACTTGATTTTATGGCTGTTAGCATTTGGGAAAAATGAACAGAACAATAAAGGTTAAGAATATGAATTGCTTTATTGTATGTTTGTCCTAATTTACTCAACTATTTCAGGTAGAAAATTTGCCAAAGTGGACAATCCCAGATATGATACTTGTAGCAGAAATGTTTTTAGATTTAATGATCTCAAAGATAGCGTGGTCATGGGAAGAGAGGGAGATCATTTCATTTGTAAGTAAACCTTATCCACTTAGTTATGAATTAACTTATTTTATTATGATTTCAAAACAGTATATAGTAGACCCCTCTTAACCGACCTCACAATAACCGATAATCGGATTATCCGCCCTCGCTTGTAAAATATTAGTTTGTTTTATTTTAACTGACCTTGTTTTTAGAGCAGTTCAGCTTAACCGCCATTTTCTAGGAATCTGCATTTCCCGAAAGTTCTCCCAGCGATGTGAACAATATGTTAAACTCCACAGGGTGTTACTTTATAAATAAACATTCTGTCTTGCAACAAAATGGTTGCTTGTATCTTTAATTTCGGCAATAAGTTATTTACTGTATTACGATATATTAGGACTGCATCAATTAATATTACTAAAGGTCTTAACCCTTAGCAATCGGAAGGCCACTTCATGTGGCTATGAGATCCGTAACGCCCAAGTTGCTTTATCAGCAACCAAACTATACTGGGAGTAAACGAGTTAATAATTAAAAATATCAAATGGAAACAAAAGGCACTTATTACGATAGCGTAATTAATCCTACTGTGAGATCTGAGAATGTTTAAGGTTCCGTTATTAAGCCAGCGAGATTACCGTGCTCGAGACGTGTGCACAGTTCGGATGTATGGATTCGAATGAGTCTACAAATTACCGCAGTGGACCTCGTCCAGACAGTGGCCAGTGCGCATGCGCCACTCTCCTCTCGTCCCTACTCTGGCGGTCAGGACAGAGCTTCGTGGTGGGTTAGAGAGAGAGAGAGTGCGCAAGTGGCTGGGTACGTATGATCCTGATTTGAGGTCTACCTACCCCAGGAAACTTAAAACTGTAACGGGTGTAGAATACACTTTTACAACGCCCTTCAATAAAGGGGTAGCAGATTTTCATCCTCAAGGTCAACTAGGGGGTAAATTCTGGCAGCAAACTTTTGAGTTGCACAACATTAAGTTGACTAAATTAAAGGTGGAATCAAACGTATTCTTTCAAGGTTGTGAATTTAATCGTAACAAATTAAATTATAAAACTTAAAGTGTGTAGGCCGGAATTTTACTGCCGTACTTTTATCCCCTTCATGAGTTTTAGCTCTAAATGTACAGTCAGGCGTTTTACCCCTGGAATTTTACTCCCGTAATCTTACCCCCGTCCAGATATAGAATTTCGTTAGAATAATTTATTTCGCACACAAAATAGGTCTGTTTATAGAAATACGTATAATCAGTTACCTATTTATTTACCGCTGTTTTACCTAAACGCGTTTCTCTCAAGACTATAATTATTTAAAAATAATTATTCTCACCTATTTCTATATCTGGCCAGGGTGTAAAATTCCAAGGGTAAAAATCCAGGCGTAAAATTCCGGGGTTAAAAATCCGGGCAGCACATCTTCACTTGCCTAAAACCTATTAATATGAACAGGGGGGTAACTTAAAATTCTTGCTTTTATTGCTAACCAATTTATCACGCTCTGTTTATTTGTATTGGACTCCACAATCTGCGGGGTTTAAAATTACGCTTGAGATCAAACTTGAGAGCACTCAGATCACTATGACATAGTGACGTCAGCTCTGCTCAGGGGGTAAAATTCCAGGAGGATGAAATTCCGGCGACCCAAAATAAATTGTCTTTATCTGATTGACAAATTTATTGCAACAATAAATCAAGAGATTGCAGGCCGGTATATATGCTAAGATCAATTGTAAAAATTTCTTGTCGAAATGTCAGTATTCTGCTTTTGACCGCGGGGAAGAGTTTGCCATAACAATAGGTCACTGAGTAAAATCGGAGCGATAAGTGTGCGACTTGTCTACACGTACCAACTTATCGTTCCAATTCGCAGAAATTGATGCTGGCCGGCATCAATCATCCAATCCAATTCCTATTTGACAAATCGCTCTAATGTGCTGTCTACAGGCTGCGATAAATTGGAACAATTTGCTATTTTAGATAAATTGTTACAATATATCATGGAGAGTATACCGGGCTAGAGTAATATGGCAAAAAATATCATCCAAAATGTCTTTAACGTACTTGTATCGTAATACTGCGCGAGCCAACCATATTTTTCGGGTTAACAACAATTTTCCGGACTAGTAACGTAATATCATAGATAAAACATACTCCCTTGTGTTGCTTAGTCTATGGTAATATATCATCATTTTCAAGGCATGAAAAAAATCATTGAATTGTTAAAATCATTGCCAAATCAGTGGTCCTCTAAACTGACCTAAAATCCTATCAACTTCTCCCATTCAAACAGAATCTAACTATCCACTGATAAATTACCTTTTTGTTAAGATGGCTTTAGGCCAGGGTTTTTAAGGATTTTGTAATGGATAGGTTAACATTAGACATTCCTTTTGGACAAAAATAGACGAAAAAGCACATTACTAAAGAATGTATTATGTGTACCGTATGTGTTTGTGCTTTTTCATCTATTTTCGTCAGTAAGAAAAGTATGCTGTTAAACCTGGTCATTATAATATCATCGATCCTCATCAAGGCTAAACATGAAGATATACATTGACAGCGTAAACATTGCTCTCGTGTGCAGCAAAGTGCCACTTTGCCCACTAGTTACACAAATAACTATTTATGGTAATGTGTGTCCCAAAATTGTATTACCCTATAAGGAGGCTGTTATACAGGGTTAGTAAAAAGTCTGGAGACCCCCTGTTAATTTTTTAACGGCCCATATTAGAAAAACTAAACTCGGCACATCTTTATGGCATATTATGAAGTACTTTTTGGGCATAGCCGCCACTTGGTGTACATCCCCAAAATCCCCCATTTTGGGGGAAACTCAAAATTTTCAAATGGTAAGACCCATTGAGCGACCCCTCATTTTTAAGGTCTTGGTAAAAGAAAACCAACAACGCAAACTAGAGGTCCCTATTTCAATCCAGTAAAACATGGCAGCCAATTGAAATTCTCAGTAGTGAAATTTAACTTACAGCTTTCCAAGTCTGGAGACCCCCCTGTAAATTTTGTAATGGCTCACACTAGGAAAACTAAACTCTACACACCTTTATGGCATGTTATGAAGTATTTTTTGAGCCTAATTGCTACTTGGTCCCAAAACCCAAAATGGGGGATTTTGGGGGAAACTCAAAAATTGTAAATGTTAAGCCCCATCGACAACGACAACCTTCAGGTCTTGATAAAATAAAACTAACAAAGCAAACTAGTGGTCTCTATCTTAACACAGTAAAATATGTCAGCCAATTGAATATAATATTGCAAGTTAATTCCGATTTCTAAAGATTTTAATCAGCTGCCATTTTTTACTGGATTAAGATAGAGACAGCTAATTTTTTTGCTGGTTTACCTTTACCACGACCTTCAAAATGAGGGGTCACTCGATGGGTCTTACCATTTGAAATGATTTAGTTTCCCCCAAAATCCCCCATTTTGGGGATGTAACCCAAGTGGCGGTTATGCCCAAAAGGTACTTCGAAACATGCCATAAAGGTGTGCTAAGTTTAGTTTTTCTAGTATGGGCCGTTAAAAAATTAACAGGGGGTCTCCAGACTTTTTACTAACCCTGTATATCCATCCCCTGAGTTATCTGACTGTCCGTCTGTCTGTGTTTTTTACAAATGTATCAGTTTTATAAACTTAACCATTTCTGTATAGTACTAAATATTAAATATTACGTTTGGTGTCACTAAAGGGGTTAAAAAGATTTGGATGCATTTAGTGATGTACTGATACATAGCCGTCTCTAGTAATAAGGCCGCGGCGAGCGAAATCTGGCAACGTCGCATCCGAGCATAGTCCAGCGGGCTCCTGCCATTAGTTTGCACTGCTAAACGGCGCATCATCAGTGACTAACCTGTTTGTTTTACAAAATTAGAGACACTGTAGTGACAGTGTATTATGCCTCATAAGTGTGTTGTGCCGGGGTGCAATAGTAACCACCCAAAATCATTAAAAACTGAGGGGTATATACAACTATTTCACTTCCCTCTAAAAAGTCCGCGTCGAGATGAGTGGGTTCGCGCTATACATCGAGCTGACTGGACACCAAAAAATTATTCCTACGTATGTGTGAAACATTTCCACAGTGATGATTTGATTACAGTTGAGAAATATAAAGACAAAGATGGAAAATTGTGTGAATATACCAGAGACAGACCTGTTTTAAGTAGCGATGCAGTTTAAGGATATTTCCAAATCTACCCGGCTACCTTACTGACAACCGAACAAGTGTGAAACGTAAACCACCCGATAAAACAAGAGAGGAAGAAGAAGAGGAAAGAAGGTGAGTCGGTGGCTCAGTTGGTAGCATCACGGACTTCGGGCCCAAGGCAGCGATGTCGTGGGTTCGGATCCTGGTCACTGCCACTAAAATTTATCAGTACAGTTCACCTTCGTACTATACCGGCTCACCCCTTGCTTTGCTGTATACGTTCCACACACAGATCTGTAGTCTATGTGGACGGGCAAATGCAAGGTTAAAAGAGGCCGCCAACCTCTTTAAACAAAAAAAAAAATGCAGCAGGCATTCCAACAGGCTCGGCACTGTAACTGCGAACGCAATTGGCATTCAAATATTTCAATCTGATGAATAACAAAAGAGCAGCGGTGATTGTACTACGTTACCCCAAGATTGGACGTAGTTCCCTAAAACACCCAATAGTAGCAGCACTGCCTGCATCAGTAGTCAGTGGCCTTGTAATATGGCTTGAAGAGAGAAAATCCCCAAAACCGGGACAAAAGCATTGCCAGACTGGATTTTACGGTAAATTTTAGTACCAACCTACACCAAAATAAAGCTCACATTCTAAGCTACAGGCTAGCAACGATTTTAACGTTCCCCGGCAATGGCTGAGCTCATACTGAACTAATGTAGTGAGGGTTGCGCAACTACATCAATTGATGTAGTCCGATGAACGTGTTAAGGAAGAAAAAGAGAGAAGAGGATGAGTTAAAAAGGATAGCAGAAAATGATAAGGTAGCTAATTTCAACTTATTTTCTGAACTTCTCCCTGCTAAAATAAAGGA